AACCTGCTCCTCCAGGCAACCACCCACTCTGCCCAGCCCATGCCTAGAACCAGCCCCACGGTGGTCTTATACCTCTGCAGAGGTTCCAAAAGCCAAAGAAAAAATCCATATTTAAACATCTAATGAATATGCAGAAAGCTGTAGTGGTAGTGGCTATTTTTGGATGTATATTTTCTCCCTTCTTTTGTTGCTGCTACATATCTGCCATATCTATCTACGCCTTATCTATACCAACCCTCCCACCGTTGTTATCACCAGTAGAGCTGAACAACAATATGAAAGCTAAGACAAAATTACTATAGAAATAAACTTTGGCACACCCTTTCCACTCTGTCCCCTCTCCTGGTCTGAGAGAGATTGCTCTTTGGTGTGTTTAACTGCATAGGTTGCAATGGTTTTTACAATGTTATTGGAACCATACAAATTAGCACCAACAACTATACTTTCTGAACATAATGGGATTAAAATAAGTGAAATTATCACACAACCGATATCTGGGTTTTTTTGAAAATGGAGGTGTGAAAACTGCTTGCCTGTGTATTTATTTTGTACTGGTAGCTGCAAACACATTCAATACAATAAAGAGAAAGGAGCTTTGGTACAATCAGATGGCTAGTTGCTGGGGATTAAGGCTTCTCCAGCCTCTCCCAGTGCTCAGTGTTATCTTCAGCTTTCTAGTGCTAAATTAGATATTAAACATGCTAAGGCCGGTGAGAGAAAACACTCATGGATGCTGAATCTTCCTCTGCTTGGCTACAGCACTACAAAGCACCCAGCACTGCCTTGTTTTCTGACAGATGCCATCTAGCCAGGACTACGCTTCCATAGGTTTCTGGTATTACCATCCACGTGACATGGCAACCAGTCTAAATTCCACTGAATACAAGAACCTCTTCTACTCTGCCCCACCACTTACTTGCTGTGATAATCAAACAACTGTTCCATAGTACACTATGGTCAACACTGACCTGAAGGAAGAGACAAACTACAGTCCTAAAAATAAAACAGTTTAGATCCCAAGACCATGCCTCAGAAAAATCAATTTTTTAAAAAATACAAACCTTCCAGAGCATGCTCCCCATTGGGCCAGATGGCACCCCAACCCAGCTGGTATGTATATGTGCATGTGTGCACATATATAAAAATCTCAAAAATAGCTAAAGACATTAAGAAACACTTAATCATCTCTTATTCATCTTCACTTATCAGCCTGGAACTTCGAGAACTTAAACCACAAGCTGTCTCCAATGAGATAACCCTGTTCAAATGTTGTGAAAAGATCTGTTGCTGAATTTTTCAAGCCTGAAGAGGTGTCTGCATTTACAATGACCAACGAGGAGAAAAAAAGGGAAGAAAAATTGCATCAGTTCTGCTGAAGATTGGTGCAATTACTTTAGTAACTGGACCACAATGACAGGCCCTTTCTTGCTAGCAGTTACAGTCAAAGGCAGAATTTAAAAGAGGTTTTGAAACACAGTTTGCTGTTCTGATTTAGTGAAGTTTTTCAGAAGTTTGGTGACAGCCTGCTCACGTAAACTGAAGGATCCCCAACCGTCTTCTCAATTGCAAATAAATATCATATCCCTCACAGAGCATCTTTGAGCAATATTTCAAAAGCAAGAGACAAGCTCTGAGTTGCAAAGATGATTCAGAGTAGTGGGTGAGGAATGTAAATTCCATTTTGCAAAACATTTCGTCTACTAAGCCCTCTATTACTCCACAAGACATGTCAGGTTCTGTCTTGAACAAGGATTCTTTACCAGCTAAGAGACCACGTTTATAGGAGTTAGGTTTAAATACTGCCTGAAGTGCTTATACATTAACAGTCTTGCTGGGCAGGTCATGTAGGGCTGATGTCTCTTCTCACTTCTAGCTTGCCTTGGAGTCAAGTAAAAGCTGTGGAAACTCAGGAGTGCTTTTCTTCTGCCAGACTAACGTATTAATTTTGCTAGAAACTCTGCCTCTGAAGAAAACTGGGATATATACTTTAAAGAGGAAACTGGCTAACAAAATTCACCAAACAATTGGCAATTACTTCTGAAGCACAGTGGAAACCTGGGTAGCACTTGGATGGAGAAGAAAGTGGAAAAATAAGCAAACTATTCCATCTTCAAGAAAGGACAAAAGGTGGTAAAAAAGCAATCAACCTTCTGGCATAGGAAATCCTGGCCTATTCAGAATAATCTAAGATTGTGGAAGGAGACAGCCAACAAAACTCATCAACAGAATAGCTTCCTAAGCAGTTTAGGAAATACCTTTTTTCACAGACCTCCCACCCCGAAATAAATCCTGTCTAATAACTGGACCAGACAAAACCGCTGGCAGAGTTTCCAGCTGAGGAGGAATGACTCAATGCAACCTACTGGGAGGACACCTCAAAATTATGATTATTTCCAAAAAAACAGCAGAATTTGTTCCATTTTCCTGGCAAAATACCAACACAGGTAACTGCATTCCTCCAACTTGAAATAAGTTTGCAATTGTCTGACTGGTGTGTTCCTTCCCACTTTTCTTCACCTTTTGTCTAGTAATGTTTCTAACCATTAGATAGCTTGTACTTGCTGCGCCTGTACTTAAGCAAAATAATCTATGTCAGAGTTGTTGTTAAGAATGCAGCTCTGTAAAAAGATTTACACTTGCAAAAAAGTTGCTATTTACAAATAGCTGATACAATTTAAGGGAGTTGTACCATAAATATTTATAGCAACACAATATCTGAATTCACCCGGAAGGCAGAAACCAGTTAGAGAGGTATTTGTATTTAAAATACCAACCAACAGTACAGGACATTACATCATCCTGTCTAGTTTGTACAATATTTTAAATGAAAGACCACATTCCACCCCCTCAGATCACAGACCCAAAGACACTCCTATTTTAAGCTAGAACATGAGAACAAGGAGTTTTCCGTTGAAGCAGAAGCTTTCCAAGGTCTCCACATCCCTACAGCAAGACTCTTTCTCCAAGAAGGAAGCACAGCAACCTCGCTAGCTGAACAATTATTCTGAACCACAGGATGAGATTTAAGAAAGGATGTTTCATCACATTCAAAACAGGCACAACCCTTCAAGAAGAGTTGAATGAAGAAACGAAAAGCTTCAATAAGCCTATCACAGGCGATTTGAATGGCCAATGAGTTATTTGCCACAGAAGCCAAATCTCCAGGTCTAACAAAACAAAGCTCATGAGGTTCGCTAAAATGTTTCAATAACAGAACTGCTCAAGTTACAAGAGACGAAAGACATACACGTTCCTACTACAGGATCTTCTGATCCCATTAAGCAACCACTGACGGCAATTGACATTAAGTAATTAATTTTGTAACTGAAATGTTGCAAGTTTACTGACACCCTTCCTCAAGTTACAAGAACCAGAAACAAGAAAGCTGACCAAAACACATATGACATTGTTTGTGGTAATTCTAGCTATCACTCTTTGTGCAAAGGTCCCAGATGAAAAGTGCCATCTGCAGCTGCCTGGGGAAAAAAAAAAAGTTTTCAAGAGCATCACAGCCAGATAAACACAAAACCCCAAATCGAGAATTTACAAATGCAGTCAGGACAAGTATAGTAACATGCATAAATTCTAGAGTTCACACATAAAAACTTACAGATAAATAACTAATTTAAATGTATGTAACCTTCGTTTTAACTAAGAGGAAATTCCGTAAGTAGTAGTAAAACAGTGTCCAATGTAAAAGGAAATCACACAAATTAAAAGAAAAGCAGGGAGAAGTCTCTATAAACCCTACACAAAGATAGAAGGCCAAGGTACTGGTGTATTTAGCCAGACCATCTTCAGGACCTCTGGACTGCAACATCAAATGTTGGTTAAATAAGCAATCCAAAATTAGAATGGCATTTTCCTCAAAACCCTGCCATTAACCAAACCTCTTAGAGGCTAGTCATCCTCTCAGCTGTGGATTACAGTTGTGATTAACAGCCTTTGAAAATGAAACAAAATATTTTCATTTTACCTCTAACAGAGTTTGTAATTTGCTCTCACTATTGCTAAAGCACCTGAGACCACAGGACAGCACTCAGTTGTGCTTAATACCACCAAAATGTACAGTTTAAACTGCCAGAGCCATTAAAAATAGAAACAGTAGTACATTTTCTAAAGTCTTGGGTCTTTCAATCAAGATTCAACACCCTTCTAAAAGAGCACAGTGATTCGTTTCAACAGAAGAGATATGCTGATGCCGTATGGCTTAGAGTGTCGTATTGCCAAACCCTGCACAATACTAGACGATATCAAATTAGGCACTGACCAACTGTGGTGCCTACAACACTACTGTTACATCCCCCACACATTACTGCTTTTCTTTACTCTAATGCCCCTCTCCTATACTTTCACACAGAGTTGAGCTAGTGCTATTTGCTTAGCATGTCTGCCCCAGCATGGGAAAGGGTCAGAAATGAGTCAAAAGCGGTCATTTCCACCAGCTGATAGTGCTCCTCCACCCAGAAAGTAAAAGAGCATAACTGCTCTGGATTAGGAATCAGTAGGAGGGGTTTGGCGTAAGAGGAAAGAAAGAGGGGAAGAGAGGCCAATACACTGGAGGTGTAAGGAGCAGCCTGTGAACCCAGCACCATTTTATGCTGCAAGCTTCATCATGGGATGAAATTTCTTAGTAACAGATCCTAAGTTCTTCAGTGAACTCAGATCAGCTTAGAAGCAGCAGGGCTGGTAAACAAGAGGGAGGAAAGACACACCCTGCCCCAGCCACAGCTCTCTCTCTTCATCAGCTCATCTAGAAAATTTAAATGATCATTATATGAGAAGTGAAACAAAAAGAAAATCAGTACGATAAAAGATTCAAATGGCACTGCCCATTGTTATCCAGAGACTGGATTAGGCATTTGTAAATTCTCCCCATCCAGCTTTCATCAGAATTACTCTAGATTCAGAGGCGGAGAACAGCAATTTTTCAAAAAACCAAACTAGTATTCCTCAGACACCTGCCCCCCTCCCCCAAATTCCAAAACAACAAAACTTACCTGCTTCTGGATCTGGAGGAATCCTCCACATATACAAATTGAAGTCATCAGAGCCCGAAAGAATGTACTGTTAGGAATAAAAATAAAAGTAGTTTACCACAAAGTATCACCTGAATGATGTTATTTTATTGTTGATCTAGTTTCTCCAAACCAAAAATGAGGAAAAAAAAAGATAATTTATATCATTTTTGCACCTTGCTGATCAGCTTACCCTTAAATGGGGGTGAGGTACCAGCACAAAAATGTTGTATGCGTAAAAGTGGACCAAAATTCAAAATCATGCTTCATGTATCTAATGCCTACTGCCCAAAGTTTTCTTTGCTAAATAAGGCTATGGATTTTGGTTGGCTTTAATACAAACATGTCTAGATCAAACTCTCACACCTTGCAGCCTGCAACTCTGGTCCTTTTTAATGTCAAGGTCTTTCATCCTTTTTGCTCATCTCCTGAGCTACCTAGGAAAAACTCCATCAAACACTTACCTAAGAAGAGAGCTAGCATGTCCATTACACACAAGAACAACATGTCTGGCTCATCATAGTCTACTGAAGACCATCAAAAGTCAGCCACTGAGGATAATCTTGAACACTGAACAAAACCAAAGCTAAACATTCACTGTCAGCAAGCCTCAAGCGGTTTAAAAAAAACCACATTTATCATACCGTTCATTTTTTTCCTGGTTATAGTTACTCTGAAGAGATGGAAGGCTGCCCTTTTTCAAAAGTGCATGAATGACAAGCAATCTCTTTATTGTACAGAAGTTTAGGCAATATGCAATTTGAAGTAGCTTAATATACTACAAATATGCACTGGAATGACAGGTGACATTTGACATGGTAAAAAGCTTACGCCTCTCAGTTACGAGAGGCCACAAGCTGTGCCTTGCCTCCAAATAAACCGTAATCCATGTCATTTATTTCTCTCCTGAATTAGAGATGAGATGACATGTAGTGGAACCAAGGGCAGATTCCAGTTCCAGTTAGACTGGTATAGACAGGGTAAATCTCTAGCCCTCAACTGACTTAAGGCTTCTGCTTAATCAATATAGTCAAGAAGTTGGGTTTTTCATTTTATAATTAGGGTACAGGGAAGGGAGAAAAAGAAAGACATGGAGCAAGTTTGTCCCTTTTCTAACCTTTGATAGGAGACAAATTCTGTTTTGTTTGGCTCAAATATAACTGGTTTCTGTCTTTCATTCTCCACGGATACATAAACTCATCAGACAAAGTAACATCAAGCAGTGAGGAGACAAGTCCTAGAATAACACAGGACTGAGAAGCAAAAGCAAATAAACAAAAAAAACACACTAACATAGAGAAAACTGCTATAAATTTGCATATATTCTGTTTGCAATGCTAATTACATTCATGCAGTGTCTGGATGCTTCCAGCCACAAAAATGCAATAACCAACCACTAAAAATCCCTTCTCTGGTTTCCTACTATCACAATACAACCATTCTTTTTTCTCCTATTTTTAAGGATGTAGGATGTGAGTAAGCACTTATGAATGCAATTCTGCTCATTTTCTGACAGATAAGAAACACTGATCAAACAAAAGTTCCCTTAAAAACTTGTGCACACTAGTTCTGCATCACCCATCCTTTCCAAGCCAGAGTTATTTCTACAAGCCAACATGTTCAAGCACTTAGGCAGCTTACCTCTGCCAAACTGACCTGACAGTGCCAGGAATATGTGCTTCCCTTTCATTTGACTGCTCATAAATGTTAGCCCACAGCAGGCTGAGCCACTGTGCCAAAACTACACAGATTATGGCTCATATAAGCAACCTCCCAGCAATCAGAAAGAAAGCACCTCTAATATGTTTTGTTACACAAGAAATGCTTCATGGGAAAAAAAAGTCTTGTTTAAAGTTATAAAGATGTTAGTATTTATTACCAAATTGTGTGGTTGAAGCAGCAACTGGTTTGCCTAGGACATGTGGGGAAAAAATGGAGACTTCTAAAACAGCTAGAAAGTTCAGTATCTTGAATTTATGACCATTACATTTTTTTTTTTAACCAAACAAGTTCTAACAACTCCTCAATATGAGAGTCATTCAGCACTTTATGTCATAAATCAAACAAACCTACCAACGACAGGCCCCAAAGTGACAGATTTCAGGTATCCCGCACCAAGCACACAACACAGAAAAAACACGTTACGTATGTGCAAGGAACGAAGTGTCTGTGAGACTCTTCAAATCAGCTTCCAAACTGATTTTCAGAGGAGCACACTGTGTGTCCTGTAAGACTCAATGGCCAATTGTCTAGGAAATCTGGCGTATCATTGCCCACTGAACAAGAACATACTACCTGCAAAGACCGCTGATCCAAGTATACTCTGTCTTGCTCTGGAGATAGCAACATTTAGAGCGCCCTTGCAGTGATGTGGACTAACAGCAATTTGACTGCACTATCAAAAGCATAACCAGGAGGTCAACACAAGTGATTATTCCCCTCACCTGGCACTTTTGAGGCCACACCTGGAGTGTTGTGTCCAGTTTGGATCCCCTGATACAAGAGCAACACTAATGAATCAGACAGAGTGGAGGAGGGCCTCTGGGGCTGAAGGCACACGACCTGTGAGGAAAGGCTAAGGGAATTGGCCTTATTTAGCCAGAAGAAGAGAAACTGAAGGGACAGAGTGGGCCTCAACAGTCTCCTACTGTCTGAAGGAATACAGAGCAGCTGAGGACAGACTCTTCTCAGAGGCATGCAGTGGACTCTCAGGAAGCAACAGTCACAAGTCACAGCAAGGGAAATTCCAGCTGAGCACAAAGGAACAGCACGTTCAGGAGGAGTGTAACAAACACTGCAACTCGGCCCCAGAAAGGCGCTGGAATCTCTGCCCTTGCAAATCTGAAATTTACCTGGACAATTCCCTGAGCAACCTGATCTGACTTTGAACATGCTCTGCTCTGATAAGCAACTTAAGTCAGATGACCTCCGGAGCTCTCTTCTGATTCAATTTTTTCAAAGATTACCAAAGTAAAAAGGGAAATAATTGTCTTGGTGCACTGGGGTTGATTTTGGGTTGGGGGGCAGGAAGGAGGGAGAGAAGGGAGAGGTGGGTAGTGTCAGGAATAATGCCCACCTGAAACCTTTACACTCCATCACACATAGCTTCATGAAAACTCCAATGGGGAGACAAACTTAGGCATAAGCTGCAGTTCAGCACATGGACTTGCATAAATTCAGGTGGTCACAATTTGGGGAATTTAAAGAAAGAAATTGGCAAAGTTATCTTAAAGTAGTTCACAGAATCATAGAATGGCTGAGGCTGGAAGGGATCCCAGAGGTTATCTGGTCCAACCACCCTGCGCAAGCAGGGTCACCTAGAGCCGACGGCCCAGGACAACGTCCAGATGGCTTTTTAATATCTCCAATGATTAAAATAGTCAATCCAACTATTTCCAATTGAGATAGTTTCTACCTACTTAAAAGCACCATGAAGTCCTTTGCTTCGTTTCCATTTTCTAGCCTGATGACATTTGCACCAGTCAAATACACTTGGCCAAAGTATTCTGGAGTGAATTAAGAGAAAATAAGTAGGAATGAATAAAGCATCTGCATTGCAATTTATGTCTAGTCACAGAACAAAGCTCAGCTCAAGACCTGAGCTGTTCTGAAGAAGTGCTTACGGGTTTAATCTTGCAATTGAGACAGCCATCAGTAAGTGCCAAAAGCATTAATTGATAAAGTCATCTATAAAAGTCTGATGTTGTAAGCAATGGGCTGCGAGTTGTGAACTTTCTATATAAATTTAAATTTTATTTTGATAGTTAACTCTGCCAATAATTATCAGAAATAGATCATATTCCACAAAATATCCAACTATTTGGTATCTCTGCCATTCCGCCTCTGCCATGGTAGCAGCCAGCATTGTCTTCCACTCTCAAAAAAAAACTTTCCCTGTTAGGATACCTCTGGGGTACATGTTTTCCTGCTGTTCTCACAATATAGAATTGAATCCCCAAATGCATTCCTTTTGTCCTTTTCTTTAAGACCAGGTGATAGAGGTCTGAGAAGTAGAACGCAGCTTTTCAGACAGACCAAGAGACTGCCAGAAGCACAACTTCATGACTGCAGCTATTGCAAGAAAGATGTGCCAGCTGAAGCTTCAAGAGCAGACACCCAAGTTGCTAAAGCCAGAAACACACCTCTTGCATGACATTTTAAAAAGAAACTCCATTCCAGTTAGCAGTCTCTGCACAAGACAATGGGAACCCAAGGCCTCTGGAGAGCACAGCTGGACTGACGTTACTAGGACATTTACACGATCATCTGTGAAAAATTTTCTTTGATGTATTCATTATTGGTATAACAACAAGCCAATAGTTTTCCACACTAGTTGAAAGTTGGAGAATAAGGATTGAGAAAACGCAAAAGTCAGTCCATATTACTAGAAAATTCAAATAAATAATTGCTATGAAGCCCTAGTTAATAAGGCTGAAATCCTGAGGGAATGGAGTAGACTTTTTAAAAGGAAGGAACAGAAAAAGGAAGGGGTTGGGGTGGGGTAGATGAAAGAGCATCATGCTGCATATGCTTAGACTCAATTTTAATTGTGGCCAACAACTTTTGGTCCTGAGGGGATGTGCAAAACCTAATTCCTAGCAGAGCACCTTCTACTCACTCACTTTAAGAACAAAAGCCCAGATAATCAAATCACAGAGACTAGCCAGTGAGAGGCAAAAACACGCACGTGCACAGGGACAAGTAAATGGCTAAGACAGTGTGCACTTCCCCCCACAAAAGACAAACAGAACATAACCCCAAGAACCAGTGCAGTGCTGAATTCTGAATCAGACCAGACACTGTGCGAGGAGCTCAGATGCTCAGATGTCTGGGAGGAGAAACCAATATTAAAACCACCTGTTTCATTGTCTGCATTTTTGCTGCTGTATGTGACCAGGACTTCGGAAATCAACATTCACAATATTCACATGAACAGGAGATTAGACAGAAAAACAGTTGCTAATAATTAATATTGGAGTTTTTTTAGAAGGGAAGAATCAGCTTCTACGTCTAGCTGTTAGCAACAATGACAGGAAAAGGCTTCCAGAT